CTCTTAATTATGAAATTTTTCCTATATTGATTGTAGTGGGCTAGTAAATTGAGTTGGGATTAGAGATGGCAATGGGGCGGCCACTCCCCCAGCCCGTCCCGCCCCGCCCCGTCCCGCCCCACCTTAGATGGGGTGGGGTGGGGTGGTGTGGGTTCGGGGTGCAAACTTGCCCTGTTTCCTACCCCATTTATTTATTTATTTTTTTCAAAAACTTCTAATTAACTATTTTTTACTTTTAATTTGTAATTAATTATTTTTCTTCACATGGCACGTTCGGGGCACCCCCTCCCCCCGCCCCACCCCACCCCACCAACCCATCGGGGCTGGTTTTTTTCACCCCATTCAGAGCGGGGCAGCGTCGGGGCGGAGATGGTTTTTTTGCCATCACTAGTAGGGATGTGTGGTCTCAGGGACGTTATTGTTGTTGTTTGGGTGGGTGCAAGTGGTTGTCGTATTATGTGGAGTAATGGTAGGTGGGCCCTTTTAGTGGGAAGTGTGTGGATCGGCTTTGGGTACAGGTTTGAAGAGTCACGCTCTTATGCAACAATAGAAAAGATATTCTCCTGATTGCAAATGGTTTTCACGATTTATTTTTTATTTTATTTATTTATTTTTTTGGGATTCAGAGATACCGAACTATAAAAATTTGACAGTGGTGGAATAGCTTTCAGTTTTTTTTTTAATAAAGACAATTAAACAAGAACAAGTTGCTTGCTGCTAATGTTGAAGAGGGTCTTGACTGTTTGGACGTTGGGTTGTCGTAGGCAGCGGAGTAGTGGTGATTGTGGGTTTATTGGCTGTTGCAAAAAGCAACTCTTCGGGTTTGTAACACGTGTAAGACAAACACTTTGATAGTATCGAGCTTTGATACCAAATTGATGCCGATTATAATGAGTGAATAATGAAGAAGTGAGGAGAGAAATGAGGGAAAATTGTAGTTTTATTTGATATTCAAGCGTGTCTTCTTACAATCGAAGAGCTTCATTTTATAGCTTCTAAATAATGTTGAAAAGGAAAATTACGACTAAAAAGGAAAACTAGGGTTTTCTTTTAAAAGGAGACAAACTCACTATTTTACCAAAAACAATAAAATGCAATAATAAAAATTCAATCTTTAATTGATTTGATTCCACTTGCGCCTAGAATATACTTTCCATTTTGTATCAAAAAGTATGTAACACATTATATTACAAGTGATGCCGACAACAACGATGGAAACAAGGTGGTGAAATATGTGTAACGTAATGATACAGAAATTATTTTCAAACATTAAAATATAAAAGATAATAAAAAAAATAGTTTGAGAATAAAAAGTGATTAAAAGTAACTATTTCAGGTTATTTATGAATTGTTCCCAATTTTTAAAAAAATAAAATAAAAAATCCTAACCTAGCCTAAACTCAACCACGAAAATTCCCATACTCCATCTTGTTTAAGTCCCAAATCGGAGCATGCATGATCTAGAAAAAAAATCAAAACATTCATCATTCTCCATTTTGTTTCTCTCTGCCCAGTTCATGTTTAAAATCGTCTGGGACTTTCAATTCGCCACGGCAGAGTTATACAAGATTTAGGTTATGTTTCTTACCTACTCTATTTATAGGAATTAATTACGAAATAATTATAATATTTATGATTTCGAAAATTATGTTTTTATTGAAAACTTGAGCGGTATGTATAAAGTTTCTATAAATTTTCAAAATATAGTTAATTGTTTTATTTATTAATCGTGAAGAATTAAAATACTGTTAAAAACAATACTACGCTTTATCACGCAAAGATTTCTGCCGAATATCCTATGTTTGTAAAGCTTGAAACTTGACGTCCATGACCTACCACTCATTACGCCTTTTATAACCTTGCTATAAACATCCCGATTTCATCCCTTCCATGTAAGAAAATTCACAATTAGACATCCAACTAAATGATTTCTTTGAAAACACCTCAAGAAAGTGTGATGAATTCTACACCGACTCACGTTTTTTGATTGCTAAGCACAGACATTTTGTACCAGTTTGCACAAAATTTACAGATTTCAAATTGTTTCAGTCAGCTTGGAGTTGCTGACAAATTTGGACGTAAAGATACTGGGGTTATATGAGTTATGAGCAAAATTGGAATTGTACTATTTGATTGCTAAGCAGAATTATTTCGTACAAACAACTGCATGTAAATATTAACAAGTTACACAATCAGAAGTTCAAAATTTGTTTCACTATTATATATTTTCATGATCCATACTGAAAAAATCCATAGTGGTCATCAGTGCAACGGTTTATCATGAAAGAAGAATACTGGGAAAAGAAAATAAGTTACAAAAAGAAAGTAGCCTATCTACATCAGCACAGATAAACTCACATTGGCTGGCTGATATTTGTACAATACAATAAAGGTAGAATTCATTAGTAGACTTCCACATTCCATTGCTCTGCTTTTTTCAACTGCTTTTTGTAATCTATCCAGTCAATACCTATGAAAACAGAACAAGAAAACGTTATCACGCAAGATTTTATAGACGCCCGATTTAACAGCTCACTAACTAAATTGACTCTCCATTTCATGTGTTATGCACCATATGTACATCCACTCATAAACATGACAAAGTCGGTCACTGGCAAATGACAACCGACTTCAAATATATTTCGAGCATCCTAAACCAGAAAGGGGATGGAAAAAATTAGTACTACAACGATTTTCGTTTCATACTATTCTCTTTATGCTGTTTCTAACTTAAGCACGGGATATGCTTATTTGTTTGCAAAATGCACACACTTTTATGGAAGGAGGAGACTAACTGAAGCGAAAATTATATCAGACAGGTACTAAAATTACCATCTTTAGCAGCCAATGAAACCATTATTTCGTCAATCCCCTTTTCCATGCCCTTCAGTCCACACATGTAGACATAGGTGTTATCTTTCTTGAGCAATTCCCATAGTTCTTCGGCATATTGAGCCATCCGAGTCTGGATGTACATCTTCTCACCTTTCTCATTGGTTTGTTCTCGGCTAACAGCAAAGTCCAACCTAAAGTTATCCGGAAACTTTTCCTTCATTTTCTCAAATTCCTGCCCACCATTACCATTTGATCAGTCTATTGTTCTTTATAGGCATGAATGGTCATCACAGAGGAAGTTATGAAAATTATCATGAAATTGCTAATTTCTATACTATTTACAATCGTAAAAACTAAAAAAGGACTTCCCTTTTATACTCCATTTTTCATTATCATGTTTGTTGCATAACGTAACAGATTTAAACTCAATTGTGGTTTTCAGTTAGTATTGCCACCAAGTGGTGGTAGCATGCAGTATAGATGTGGGAAATCAGTGATGTTTACCTCTTTGTAGAGCAGTGAGCTGCTCGTGGGAACACCCAAGAAAAGCCATGCCAAACCATTGAACTATAAAAAAATGTCAACCATTTTAAGTTAAAATTCAAAAAAGATCACCTATGCATATATTAATGAAGAGATCGCAACGGATTAGGAACTACCTTATAGTCGTCATGTTTCTCAAAGAACATTTTCCACAAGAATGCGCGGAAAGGGGCAATTCCAGTTCCAGTGCCAAGCTACAAATGGATAGATATATATTCCATTTATAACATATTGTAGAAATTCTTTTTCTGCTTTATACAGTAACAGAATAATGCAATCAAGCATATTATTACCATAATTATAGTTGCATTAGGATCTTTTGGCATAAGCATTTCTTTCCCAACAGGTCCAGTTATCTTCACTTCAGATCCAGGTTTCAAGTCACCTGGAATTCAGAGGATTTCAGGTCACGCTGTGATACAACCTGAAGCATTCTAGACTAAAAAGATAAAATGGTTCTTAAGAAAAGTTGCTTAACCCAACTATAACTTTAATCTGAGAAATGATAGGATATGCATGTTTATGTCGTTGAAGACATAATTTAAATAAATAGTCTTCTCAGTGACAGTTAAACCTTTTGGATGACTCGAAATGGTATTAGAGCATTTAGTGTTGTTGAGTTCGGGTCTTACTGTCGAAGACATAATTTAAATAAATAAGATTGTCATCTCTCTAACATGTCTAGCTTTTAGACGGGGTGGTTAAACAGACATTACATATTAGTTTGTTGAGTTTCTGCATATATAAAAATGAGTTCTTACACAAGAAGTTTGAGCAAACTCCTTTAATAATTTCTCCTTGGTCATTGGTGTAAACGAGCCTTTTAACACACAAAGAGACCTGTATGAAGATTGGTTCAAACAACTAAATGAATCTTTAACGAAACAAAAGGGGGAAAAATGATAATTTTAATGCCTAGGTACACAAATTAATAGAAAACATACAGTCTTAGAATCTCCAAAGTCTCCGAGGGCACTGCTTGCAATTGAGTACAACCTCAGCTTGTGAGGCTTCCCATTCTTGTCAATACCGTCTGGAATCACCCCAATGGATTGGCCTTCTCTGTAAGGGATCTCTCCTGCCCAAAATCATATCATCAATTTATTAGTTAAAACACCGAGACTCAATCAATACAATACAAATCCTGTAACAGACAATTGATGCATATAACAATACCCTCAGTGGTGAAGACCATGTGCCAGGTTTCTCCAGGGGCATCATCGCCGGTGATCTTCGTGTTGAGAAGGCACCTGCCAATGTATGGTTCCTTGGGCCTGTACTTGTTGACGACTACACCTTCTTCCTGTTTCTTGGAAATCTTCTCGGCCTTGGCAGGAGCCTCTGTAGTGACCTGAGCTCTGATCACCTTCCCACCACCATAGACATTTCTGTAGTACAAAGGCACCTGCAAATATAAGCCAAATTCCTTGTCAGTTCCTAACAAGTCCATATAAAGGTCATATGCGAATGGTAATGGTAATCATACCTTGTTGAAGTTGATTCTTTCTGGAGAAAAAGTGGCGGTTCTGGTTGGAAGAGAAACAGACTTGGAGGATGGAAGAGAGACTGCAGCACTTACTGCAGCAGCCATGATTGAATCTATGTAAAAACCAAAGAAAAAGGTGATCAAATGATACTAAAAGTGAGAGAGAAAGGAGTGGGAGAAGAAGTACTAAGGGGTGGAATCTGTTTTAGGGGCGATAATTGGTGAGTGGATTATGAATTGGTTGGACGAGATTACAGAGCCAATGCAGTGGCACTTGTGAGGATAAGAAAATTAGTATGTGCATATGACTCAAATTTAAGCCTCTCTCTCTCTCTCTCTCTCTCTCTCTACATATTCTAGTAGCTTGTGCCCCAAATATGAGTATTTGATTTGAGAAATTATTGAAAATACCTCAAATTGAACAGTAGCCTTTTCAAAATACCCCCTTTATCATTTTAAAAATTTAA